AGAGCCCCCATTTATATTATGTATGTCACCTGTGAGCACTATACATAGAGTCTCAGGTAAATAAAGCTTGAGGAAGAGATGCTGCTAACATGTTTAGGTAACCTCCGTAGCTGGACAATAAGCAATTTCCTAACACCATCCAAATATGTTTGTTGTAAGATGCTGGTGGAAGGCTGGACCACCCAAGTTAGTCTAATGGAGCCCTAGTGCCCAAATCCAAGCATGACCAGATTTGACAGGCATTTTTGTTATTGTAAATAGGATCATAACTGCCTTTGAAGAACTTCAGAGAACATTGTATTCAAGTGTCCACCCAAAGCACGTGGTGCTTCTACAACATCCCGGGAATGGACACCAGGAACAATGGGGATAACATACCTGAACCTAGAGCTCTTCTGTTTGCAGAAGACTTTCATTTAACCACCACAATAATCCTTTGAGGCTAATCTGCTACCCATTTTACAGATGAAGAAGCTGAGGCTTAGAGAGTAAGTGACTTCCCTGATGTGACACAGTAAGTGGCAGGGCCAGGATTTGACCATAGGTTTTCTGAGTCTACACCCTATGCTATTTCCACTTGCTCACATCACTTGTCTCTGCTTGAATATTTCCAAGCAACAAAGAGCTCATTCTTCATGAAGAAGAGGTCCATTGCATTGCCGGGGTCTTTTCTAAGTGTCTCAAGGAAGAAGCTCCTAACGGCTCATGGTAAGACCCTGTTCAGGAGACTGTCATGCAGTGAACCCTGGGCCTCCGTCGGGGCAGCCTACCTGGCTCAACACTCTGTACTCCAGCTCCGTGCGCAGCTCCAGGGCTCTGCTTTTGCACACAGGGGGCAGCCAGTGGTGGATCATGGCCTGCCTGGCTTCCGGGTTGGGAAGATCAACCAGAATCCTCTTCTCCAGGCGGCGTAACATGGCACAGTCCAGCTCCCTGAAACCATGTCAAAAACAGAGAAACTAGATAGGACAGCAGACACTTCCTAAGCAACAATTATATTTTAAAACCAATTTGGCATTGCAGAAGCAATTCTGCATTTTAACTGTCACTATACATCTATGGCTGAGTGGATAGCAGAGTTACTTCATGTTGTTTGGAGAAAGAATTGGGAAAGGAAGGAAGGGAGGGAGATAGAAACTCCTCATGTAAAGCAGGTAATTTTAGGTGACTTAATTTTGGGGGGGAAAAAACAACAACTAACAACAACCAAACATGAGTATTCTCCTTACAGTTGTAACATGAATTATTCAATCTGATCTTGCCAGTGAGTCAATTATTCCTGATAAGAACGTGGGCACTCTGGAAAATACACTAACACTTGTACGTTCTGCAGTGAATGACCACCTCAAGCCATTGTTCTGAATTCAGCATCAATGCTCTTTCCTGAGTGTCCGTCCAGTGCATATGTGGCCCTTTGAGACACTCATTCCTGCTCCTCTCAAAACTGTCAGGCCAGGTTTACAAAATTTTGTACTTGCAGACCATTTCCCTAAACTTCTTATTATAACATTTTCAAACAAATGGAAAAATAGAATAAAACAATTGAATATCCATATGTCTGCCATCTTGATTCAACACCAGTTAACATTTTGTCATATCTGTTTCATATCTCTCTCTTCTTGCTAAATTATTTCTAAGTAAATTACATCATAAAACCCTACTCCTAAATGCTTTAGCATGCATATCCCAAAAGAAGGACATTTTCTTACAGTTACAATACCATTATGACACCTAGCAGAACTGATTCCATAATATATCTAATGCTCAGTCTGTATTCAAATTTCTCCAGTTATCTCCAAAATATCTTGTATAGCTCTCCAACCCAAATCCAATCAAGGACCATGCACTACATAC